CCATGCCATGCCATGACATGCCATGCCATGCCATGCCATGCCATGCCATGCCATGCCATGCCATGCCATGCCATGCCATACAATGTCATGAAATGTGGCAATTCAGTATAGTATACACACAAGTAGAAATGCGGACTCAAATATCGTATAGCACAATATAGTGTAATTCTATATCTGCCGCCCTTGCTTTTGGCCACACTGTGCCTGTGCAATGCTCAGAGGCGCACCGACCGTAACGATCAATTCTTCTTTCCCGAGCGGCAGGACTGCGAAGAACGGCCCTGCATTGCGCAAAGAAGAGTGCTTACGGCCCCATCCCCATGAATCTAGCGCCCAGCACACCCGAAAGGCCGCTCTGCCTTCGAGGAACTCATCATCTGGAGGCTTGGCGCCTTCCAGAAAGAAGCTCTGAGACAAAAGCTGGGCGCCGCTTTTCGTGACAAACCCACCTGGCATCAACTGGCCCTCCACAAGCTCAGGAGGATCTTCAACTGGTGCCACCATAGCCTGTCTCCGCGGTACATACCGGAGCTGTTCATGCACTAACAAAACGAAGCGGTCCACGCATCTCAATGTCGGAAGACCACACAAGGACCGCATCCTGCAACAGCTTCGTTGCCAATGGCCTTCAGCAAAGGTCGGCCATCTCGCATAGAGTACTTGACGTAGCCTTCACATCGCAGCGAGGAACATGATTACCCCCGCCCCCCCCCCCTTCCCATGCCCTGTCGTCAGTTGTGAGTTGTGCCGAGCCCCCAGCCGGTGGCTGCATCACCACCCGGCTCCGTCGGTGGCACGAGCACAGTCGCAATGCCTCCGACTTGCACGTGCTTCCAGTGCACAGACTCCCGCATCTGCAAGTTGGAATTCACCAGTCGAGACCTACCTGTCGTGTCATCGAACATCTGCGTAACGATGAGTCGCCCCTTCTCCTCAGCCACATCTGGTGATCGTAAAAATAGATAATAGAAGTTTCAATCAGGAGGCACGAACCCACACAAAGGCCGGAAACTATCAGCGAGTGTCCCAGCGAGCGATGGGTTCGCCGGACAAGCCGGAATCCGCATAGACCTCGCAGGCGAAGGCCGCGGCAGCAAGTGAGCAACACTGGTGCGGTCCGTCGATGAGCATCTGTGCGACAGGATCACATCATGGACACTGCGCAAATACGATGGCACAGCACTCAGGGCTCCCTGCGTTCATGCACCAGTCGTCTTGCTTCTGAATTTCGAGAGCTTCTGGATCAATACCTGGTGCTCGAGAAGTGCCATGTCGAGACGATCCGGACAGACGCCTTCTCGATAACGCATGCTTACAGATGCCTGAAACCGCTGATGACACCATGTGTTCAGTTCTAGTTTTGTGCAGAGTCGCAACACAGATCCCAGCTTCTGTTCAAGAGGAGGTCGTCCAGTCCTCCAGTTCGTATGACCTGTGCCACAGCCGAGAATAGTGCAGGAAAGCCTCAAATCTGCCGCACGGCAGGTTTGCAAATTGGAATATTGTGGCGGGCCATTCGATGCCTCATTCACACCCCAGGTCGTTCGGCCGTTGACAGGGGAGACCTTACTCACAACCACTGGAACAGGGTGTGTAGATAGACATTGCTGCTGCTGAGGGCAAAACGTAGAGAGGGCGGTTCCACACTGGATCCATGATCTGGCGCCAGCCACCTTGTTCAAACTGGCTGTGTGCTTTGAGCTTTTCCGTTCTTCCAACAGCCCGCATGCATTCAATTCCCTCCAGGCTGAGCTCCCAGCCAACTACCGTCTCTCGCTGCTCTTGCCTGTCGATATAAAAAAAGGATTCCGACACCGCGGAGAAGCATGTAACTGCCAACGGGCTGCCGAGAGGGAGGGCCGACGAATTGGAAAGCGAGCTTCCTTGGATCCCGAAGCCAGGGAAACAAGGAACCAACGCAGAACGCTTTGACTCTTGGGAATTCCAAGGTTCGGCAGCTGCAACTCTTGGCCGCTGGAACGACGGCTTCCCCTGACAGCGACATGGGTACTCAGGAGCTTGATACCTGGTCTTCTGACTGCTAGATCCTGATACACTTCTACCGCAGGTCCGCATCACGTGCTTTCCCTTACCCCGTTCGCTGCGAGCCCATTGATCACTACTCTGCACCAGAGCCACTGCATTACACTTCAACTTAAAACTCATCCATGAAATTCCATGACTATGTCAAATCATGCCGCATCACGTTTCCAGGTTTGCCCAAAGCGTGCCTTGAACTACGTTTCGAGCCTCTCCTGATTTGAGGTACTCTCACACTGGTGACCAGAGGATAACTAGGACGATGAGGATGAAAGTAATGATGGGGGACAGGTCGGAAATGATAGCAGGAACAACCACCAGGTCACCAGAAGCCTGTCCTGGAGGGGAGCTTGGACCCGCTCCTGTGAAGGGACGAGCGATGGCTGCTGATGGGTGTTGTCTCTATGAAGGCAGCTGGGATTCCCTGTCCTCGACGGAAGCTTCGATCCACTCCTCTCAGGCAACTATGGAGGTATTGCTGCTCTTACGGCTCTTTGCTGTTGTTGTTGCTAGCTACTTGTCTAGCTACTTGTCTTCCGCGATTACATGTACAACTCAGCATTAACCATGTATTGTCATCATTTCCCTGCTCCACTCTTGCATGTTCCTGCTGTGCTACTTCTGTTTATCTTGTCTTGCCATTCCCGCTACGACTTCTCCATACGAACGATGCTCTGCTCTGTCCCTGCATCTCACAGCGAGCGGCTCCTGACGCTCAACTTGGAGCCCGACCTCAGAGAAGCAGCTGCCATACGGCACAACGATGAGAGTACGACTTGCGTACTAGGTAACAAGGAAACTAGAAGAACAGTAGTATGCGAGTTAAGGCGCAAGGCTTGTAACTACAGCAATGCTAATGATCGAATGCCAGCATCACGAAACTACGTACTGTGATTATTTTGTGGTAGGACGAGTCATCGCATGACACGACTTCATGACTTACATCGGGATTACAATCACAGCCGGCACTGCCGGCACGTTGATGGTGATGATGTTGATGATGGCTTGTATCAATCTCGAAACTGACATGATGACGATGCCTGTATCCGCATTGTTGCGGCCATGGCAATGCCTTCTCAGTCTGGTTGAGAAGGAAAAAGAAGCCGAGCCCCAGGCCTTGATGGAAGCTTCGAGCCGGCCCTGCACCGAAAGAAGGGGTGCACTCGAGCCCACTTTAGAATGTGGGGTGTAAGGATTGATGTGTGGGGCCCGGGGCTGCGCCTGGAAGTCCTGGACTCTGTCCTGAAGCAGTCGGACTTCATCTGAAGCACGGGACTTCTCTGGTGTCCTGGAGTCGCCCGCCAACTCTTCCTGGAGCTTCTCGATGGCTTCGATCGCCTGAACTGCAAACTACGGTTCAAAGTCAATGAGATGTGATGCCAAGGAGTCATCCTGCAACCGGACGCCGGTATTCCTGTGCCAGCCTCGTGAGGAGACATGCCGGCTGCCTCCAATTCCTGTCGGCAGCACGCCCCATGCGCCATAGTAACAGTACGTATACGCTTGACATGCCGACGCTCGACCCCTTGCAACTGCGAGGAAGATGCGAGCGTCCAAAATCAACAACTGTCACCAGGATGGTGGCGGCAACACACCCGATCTGAGACAGTTTACACACATGACTCGCGACGAAGATAGAAGGTCAAGGAGCGACGTCTGTCACGCGAGCGCGGTTCGATACATGTGGTGCTTGTTACGAGTGACATCCGTTCTGCGTCCTCGAACATTTGAGTCTAGGAAACAACGACCTGTTGTGATGATAGAGGCTCCCACACGCTTGAAAAAAGAGTAGCGACAACAAGCGTGCATCTTGACACGGTCACCCGACTGGTCGGGGCGGGAAGAGGGATTTTATGGGCGAAAAGGGAATGCAGCAATGCACAGGCATGTATGTATGTATGTATGTATGTATGTATGCATGTATGCATGTATGCATGTATGCATGTATGCATGTATGCATGTATGCATGTATGCATGTATGCATGCATGTATGCATGTATACATATATGTATGAATGAATGTATGGATGTGTATATGTAAATATATATATATATGTATACATATCCGTAAGTACAGAAGCATTATATATATATATATACACATCTATATATATATATACACATATTTGTATATGTGTATATATATATATATTTATATATATATTTATATATATATATATGCTCGCATACAGGGAGGGAGAGAGAGCGAGAGAGAGACCGACCTGTATGCACCTGCACACGCACACACACACACACAGACACACACACACACACACAGACACACACACACACACGCACACCCGCGCGCGCACACACGCAAAGGGATCCAACTGGATCTCCGCCAGACAAAACCTTGCTATTGTCAACGGAGCAATGCCAAGCCTTAAGATGCTCGTGAAGTTCGCGTTGTATCTTCTGGTTGCTGGTCTCCTGTCTCACAGCTATCCAAAAACTTGGCCAGTTGCCGGTACGTTCAATAAGCAGGAACCATTGCACGACAGGCTTTGCAGGCATACATCTCGAGATGGCTGATGTCCAGTCAAGTTGGCCATGCTCGCATATCTCGCATCATGCAGCACAACTGCAGAAGCTGTGTGGTGACTCGGTTAGACACGTGCATCAACGTTCTAAACTCCTCCAGCACGCGACGCAGGGTTGGGGAGCCGTCGAGTCGGACGAATGAGATCCACCCATCCAGCAGGTCTTGCTCATCCTCCTGGGCTGATTCTCGATGACGACCGTCAGTGCGTCTCATTCTAAATGCTCAAGCCTGTCCTCGTGGATCCATCCCACGAGCGCGCGGGTGCCCTCAATCAAGTTCAGCCCAATCGAAGTGCCCACCTTCCTTAAAAAGTTCCAGCACGGGCAGAAATGCCAATCGAAACGCAGCTAACCAGCCACTGCCGAGCCACAGCCACCCCAACGGCTCGCTGCGAGGGTCCCGGCCCTGCGGAAGGTTCGAGTCATGTTCCGTTGGCCGTAGTTCAGGGCGAGTTCTGCAGTTTGGCTGTAGTCTACTACGAGTGCAAGGGAATGTCTCGATTGTCCGAAACGCAACGAACATGCTCCAGTGCCGAGCTGTATCAAGACAGTGCCCAGAGGCCTCCGTGACAAGGAGAGCATCTCCCTCCTGCAAGAGTGAGCTCTGTAAGAACACGAGGGTATGATGGGGTATGGCCGTATGGCAGTGTATGGCAGCGTATGGCACCATGGTCATGACAGTTGGGTTCCGGCTCCTCAGGGCCTTCGGTTCCAGACACGGGCTCGAGAACCACCCTTGCCCAGCAAGAACGTGCCGCACACCGCAAGCTAGCAAAGAGAGTCGGGTCGGCTACGTGGCTAGAAGCCAAGGAGCCAAACGGGCGTGACCACCGCATTCATTCCGGCCACGTCGTCTGTGCGCATGCGGGCTGGAAGCCGCTGTAAGTAGCGGGTGCCATCCTTCCGTTCTTATCGCCAAAGCGGCAAAAAGGTGAGGGAAATTGCCACAGCGCCTGCGGGGGCCATCGGTACTTTGCGAAGCCCAGCTTTGCCACGCCATCGGCATCCGGAAGAAGAATCTCCACGATCCCTGCGCAGAAATCCCGACAGACTTCCGTTTTAAGCGATTCGTTAAGGAACCTCTTGAAGCCTCAGGGACTCGAGGCCGCTAGGAACGGGCCTGGCTTTGGCATGCCCACACTCGTCACCACGGTTCCCGGCTTGAGCACTTCAATCCTTGTGGAAACAGGCAAACGCAAGACATCGTCTTCAGGGCTTCTATACAGTCGGGTGTCGGCTGGCCCGTCATCTCCACAGTGCTGAAGACGTTGTATCTGTAGCCCGGATCCTCGTACTCCTGAACCATACCGTCAACGTTGCCCTTTGAGGCATCGCTGGCGGTGTCTGTTGAAGTTGTCTCTTGCGTAATTGCTCGGTGTTCGACGACTGCGGCAAGTCTCAACAGACCACGCCTTCATGTTCCCATCCACAGATTCCGAAATGTTGCTTGTGATTGTGCGAAACCGCCACTACGCTGGGCGATACCCATCTCTGCGAAACCGACTCCTCCAGTTTTTCAGGAATCACGGTGAACAAGGTCCATTCGCCTTGGGCCAGGCCCAGGCGACATGAACTCTCCGAGCAGCCCTCGGCACGGCAACAAGGCCTTTGGGCTCTACCGGGCCCGGCACCGAGCAAGAGAAACTCTTCCAAAGCGTTGAGGCGCAGAACTTCCTTAAGGGCCCGTGCATGGCATGAAACAAGAGTGCTCGGTTGAGATCGTCAGGCTCTTCCGGCTTCACTCGCTTGAGGCTTCGAGGTAACAGGATGTCTTCGTGCTCAGACGAGTCTCCACCAAGCTCCAGCTTGTAAGATTCATGTTCACCAGGTTCCAGTATCCTGGGAGAAAACATTCACGCAGACAACCGCAGCACGATGCAAGCTCCAGTGGTGTCAGTTTGTTCAGTGGTGAATCGCCAGGCCAGGATTCTCCGGCCACTGATCGGATCCTGGCACTCTCGCCAGCCTCCTGGGGAGCATTGTATGCGGGTCAAAGAAGCATCGGCGGTCTGGCGAAGTCGTGCAGCGAAGCTCTGCAAGGGGCCTGACACTGGAATGTCATAATAGAGCCGGTAGGGGTCGTAACCTCGGTAGCAAGTGGAAGCCTGCAACCCACTAACCCAGCCGCTCGCTTGAGTAAGCTGCGCTCTGCATGCCGTGCTGAGCTCCGAGCCATTCAGTGCAATTAGCGTGGCCTGGGGCGAGCGGCCCCGCAAAGCCATGGCGAAAGAGGCGCTTTTCACATGCGAGCACGGGACTCCAAAAGTCTGCTAAACACTCGAGGTCAGACGCTACTGTGCTTGTGCTGATTGTCTGAGTATAAGCTCAAGTGTCTCTAGGCCAAGTCCAAATAAAGCAGCTACTCGACTTGAAGCATTCCACAAGATCAGGCGAGCTACTAGAGCCACCCACGGGATTTCCCCTTTAGGGAGTCGCCGCGGGCCTCGTGAATTCTCAAGCTCCCAGCCCAACCGCGATCAGGAATGACGTTGGATTGCAGCGGAAGAACACAAGTTTTCGGAACCGGGGAAGCAGAACCTTTGGCAGCTTCCAGCTGCTCCAGAGAGAGAGATAGAGAGAGAGAGAGAGTGAACGAACTGCCATCCGCTGAAGCAGGTAGCATGCAGACTCATCAGTCACATCAATGAAGACTTGACAATGGCAACCACAAGATCCAAGATGACCACCCAAGATGTGTGCGCTGGAGTGCCAGAAGACATCCTGCGAGAGCAGCGGCAACGGCAGCAACCTTACGCACCGGCTCAACCCCGAACCCTGAGAGAAATCGGATTGCTTGATTTCGGAAGCCCTTGGTCGTGGGAGCCTTCAACTTCTATTTCCTTCTGATCTCTGTCCTGGCCCTGCGGGTGGTCGAACTTGAGGAGCTCCATCCTGCAGCTGCCTTCCAGGGGCCTGACCGTCGAAGTCCTAATGGCTGCGCAGCTTCTCCATGACATGTGCACTGACGCATCCTCTCTTTTTTTTCACCCTCAACTCGGCCACACTTTGGGCCGGACCGAGTCCCAACAAAAAGAGGCAAAGGCTAAATGGCTGCCAGCGCCGCAAGCAGGCGCCCGGCTCGCTAGACCTAGCGAGCCGGCCCAGACTTGAGGGTCTTGCGACCATCATCTAATCTAGACTGAAACTACAGCCGTGAGCTCACAAACTCTTTCAGATTCAGATTTTCTGAACCAACAGCTTCTAGGGCTAGGGCATGCTACGAAGCCCCGGATCGGGGCACCTGTCTTCAAATCGCACTCCCCGTGGCCTTAGCGCGGAGGCTGAGAGTCGCGGCATCGGCTCTCGGTGTCGGCCAAGGAGCCGCGCATTCTCAGAGTGCAAAGGCCGAGGAGTCGGAGTCGTCGTTGTCACTCTCCGGGAGAGCGAAGCACCTCTGCTAGCGCTGAATGAAGGCCCCATTTGGGGCCTAGATATGAAGTTTGGCGGATCAATGGAAAGGTCCACAGCAAAACTAGGCAGCGCAAGAAGTATTCCACGGTTGGAGCGAGGTTGTCTTTTAGTGCCAAGCTGCGGAAACGAAAGGCAGATGTCGACGAAGAGCAGAATGTGGAACATACAGATTGGAAGCCTGGTTGGATTTCGTTGATTCGACGAACTGAACTTTATTGACAGCAGCATTGCCTTCCGTGCTCAAACGATGCTTGGCAATTTTGTATGAGGGTGGCAAACGTAGGGGTTGGCGAAGGGTCAGCAAGCACTGTCGCATGGAATTGCCACAAGACTCGGCCCACTATCGATCGGCACGCATATCGCGACCATCATCACTGGTGAAACGCTTACACTTCTCTTCCAAGAAGCAAGGTGCCAAGACGTTCTTCAACAAAGCCTGAGAATCTGCAAAGAATGTGGGAAGGAGGACCATGATGTAATAATCGGACAATTGCGCGATTGAAGGCATGCTTCCCCTCCAGAATGTATCAATTTTCGGGTAGACCGGAGCGCTTCTCCGTTCACAATTCTTCGTAGAGGGTCGCAGACCCTCACATGATTGAATATCAGCCAGTCAAACTGACATGCACCGCCGACTGCTTTTCAAAACACGTTCCTGACTGAACTTCGTGGGTCAGGACAAAGCCCACCTACCTACAACAAGCCGGCGATAAGTACATAAAGTCGTCATAGTCGTGCGCATGGCTCATGGCGTTTCTGGTACATAGGCCCTAGGCCTAATCATACTCAGATATCTTATCCAGCACGACCGCATGCAGCAGCTGCAAATGGCCACTTCGCCGAGCAGCAGAGCCGCATGGCGACCCAGGTGACTGCCACCGCAACGATGTACGTTGAACACAGGAGGCACTGCAGCAAGGCCTGGCACAGCAAATGCGCTCATCTAACGGAAGTCTCTGCGAGAACTCCGATGGCGAGCTGCGGGCGGCACGCGGTGGCTCACGGCCTGTCCCACTCTCGCAAGCGCCTTGATGGTCAAGCAAAGATCATCATGCCAGGTGCCAAGGCTGCTAGGGGTAAGTGGGTAAGTGCGACAGTGGCGGAGGGAGTTGTAGATCGAACGATATCAGCCTAACCAATGAACCTGGGCTGCCTGTCGCCGTCTGCACATGGATGTGCTGCTGCTTCTAAAGCTCTCGCCGCTAATGTCGACGTAGCAACTCCAAAACATGCATTATGTAGACTACCACGATTTAGAACACGCTCCCAGCGCCACCATGCAACGTGAAGTTGATCATCACATAACATACAAGCCTTACCCAGGACCCCACTGCCCCACACATGTGTTCATGATACGTGCTGCATCGTAATGCCCCGCTCAATATTGCCCAGGCTGTCAAAACTTACTCTGACCTTCAGACCTCCTTCCGGCCTGAGGCCGTCTGCCATGTCGTAGGCTCGGAGTTTGCGCGTAAGGTGGGTGGAGAAGTAGCTGGGGCTTGGTGAATGCACCTGGGTCCTACAGGTGGAGCCAAGGTGCGAGGAGCATGCACAAGGCAAAGAGCACGACCAGAAAGAGGCTGGCCCAGCGAAGCAACAGTAACAGATACCATACCTGAGTGCAGTTGCAGCCCAGTAGTGAAACCTAGCATTGCAGCACGCACGAATGTGTAGAGACCCCTGTCCTTCAGAAGCAACAATTGCTTGCTGCTTGCCGCGCCGCAACAAGTTCCCCCATCGCCAGGGTCTCTGCAGGGCCCAAGGACCACAGTAACATATACCGAGGCAGCGTTGGCAGCACACAAGTGCTCAGCAGCTCAAGCATGGGGGCGGACACACGACACGACGAGAGTCCTGGTCCGAAAAGAGGTCCCTCAAATGATAGAACACGCTAACTGCGTCTTTACATATGCTTTCTTGTCAACGGTATCATCCCGTGTGCCTCACAAAGCAAGGTCATCTAATCTGCCACACAATCCAAAGTCATATACGTCGCTATGGAACAGAGAAGTTTAACACCCTCATTGAATCGTTGCACTCGTTGCGAGAAGCCACTTGCGTGGCAGTGTAAAGCGGCTTTCTATCTACCATGTTTAACAAACTGGCCCACGCTTCTTCAAAAATCCAAAACCTGAAGGATCCCGCTGTTTAACCTCAGTTAAACTTTGCTCTACTTCGACAGTGGAGCCCAGTGTGTCTCTGTGTGTGTGTGCGTCTGGTAAGCAGAACTTTTCCCACGTTAATCTCTGATCGGCCATACTTGACCACATCTTAATTCGCCTCGTAAACCTTGATGTGCGGTTTGCATGACTGCATGGGCCCTTGCTTCCGTCTTTGAGGTGCTATGTTTTTACTCTTCATGAACATCTTGTTCTTTCTATCAGATTCCTGCGTAACGTCCTTGTACACATCGTTTGTACTCTTTTGATGTGTCTATCTCGTAGTCTGCTTGCCCTACGTCCTCCTCCGGTGTGCCCTCAACCTTATCATGGTCACCCTCAGATTCTGCCTGCTCCTCATTCACCCGCGACTCCTTCCGCTGGCCCCAGCTCACGATGCCATCATCGTCATCGTCATCGTCATCATCATCACCATCATCATCATCATCATCCAATCCCGACGGCAGACTAGTGACTAGTGCAGCCCAGCATCGCAGCAAGGTCGCAGCTTGCTCACGCACTCTCATGTTGAACAGCTGCAAGCCATCGCCTCTTGACGCTTCTTCGATCAATGAACAGACCTCGATAAAGTCGCACGGTAATGTCGATCCAGTTATTGGGTGCACGTGCCGCAAATGACAGCATTCGCAGCTGGCTTTCTCAACGCTGAATCGTCGGATCTGCACAGTGGCCAGCTGAGCTAAAGTCTGCATCTGCATGGCCAAGGAGAACAGATGCCGAAGCTGCCCAAAGGCTACAGCAACACCCACGCCGCCCAGTACACAAGCCACGCTCAAACTCGTCATGCTGCTGGCATCTCGAACTCCTGAGAAGGCATACAGGCCGAATACCAGACACTGGCAGCTCAAGTAGAAGAGGAAGAAGAGCCAACCCATCGATTCAGGCATCGCAAGCACGTTGCCTTCTCCTCTAGACTGTGCCAGAAAGCTGACGACTTCGTAGACACACAACGGGCACCGGAAATAACTGGCCGAGCAAATCACCACCAGTGTCTGCGAGCGCTTCAAGATGCCCCTCAGCTTCTGCAGCTCTGCCGGTCGGAGCTCGGACTTGCGAGGGACACAGAGTTCTCTCAGAAAGGTAAGCTGAGGCAGTCCAATCCAAGCTCGGATGTACTGCCAGAAGAAGAGGACAAGAAGCGAAGTCAGGTGGGAAATGACCGCGGTCCTTAACGCAGATCTGCCCTGCTACAAGTACAAGTAGCATCCTAGGAAGCGGCTTAAACTAGGGGCAAACTGACGGGATTGTATGACGCCGAGGTTCCAGATGCTGCATGGAACGCTCCCATGGACCTGGAGGATGCCTCAACGAGCAGAAAGGAAGGATTTGTGCATTCCATGCCTACTGATGTAAATTCCCTTCGCCCGCGACCCCCCACCCCCCACCTGGCCTACAGTGAAACTAACGCAAGCCGTTGCAACGGCAGCAGCCCGGGCATTCAGAAGAATTTGGCAGCACCACTGCCTGAACATGAAATTGACTGCAGTGGTGCAGGGACAAAGCCATGATGCGACTCCATAAGCAGCCTTTTCTTCACACCATTCTCTGAATGCCGCCCGAAGCACTTCCGGACAATCGACTCCGAGTCGTTGATGTGATCGTCGGTGCTGATGAAGATATGGCAGCGGGATGTCCTAGCAGAGGCTACTACTGTTACTACTGCATACCCTCCCTTTCCGGCACACGAACCACACATCAAATTGGGAAGACAAGACACTCTTTTTGGTGTTTCTCCACATCGGGGAAGAAGTCTTCCAACACTGATGGCCTTCCGAATCACCATCACCACAGGCTAGAAGGTCATGAAGTAATGAACTCGCACACCAGTAAAACCCTGCTATGATGGTTGCGAAGGGCCCGGGACAACAGTTAATGCAGCCTTCTATAGACTCCTAACCAAGAAAGGTTAGGGATCTGACGCGCTTCTCCATCTGACGTGCTTCTCTGTTCTAAAGAACTTCTTGCATCATGCAGATCTATTTGCACCTCCATATCCGCCAGCGGCGACTGAGACCTCGGATCTACGGTCTCCCGCTTGTGATCTGTGCATGGCAGCTCCACTGAATCTGTATGATGAGAACGTGTGACCCTGTGCTTAACTAGTTGACTGCTCAAAGTTCTACCGTCAGACTTCTGGCCCAGCAGCAAAGATGTAGAGGGATGCTCGTGAACGGCTCCGGGCATCTCGCTCCTTTGACCCTGGCAAGCCTGGACATCTGCGCGAACGGGCCCAGCAGGCCTTTCGGTGGGAAGCTTGAGCCCAAACATGAGGCAAGCGATGCGGAGTTGCTGTCGCATGGCACCGTGCTCTGGGACTGGGAAGCTTGAGGGTTCCCAACTTCTTGTCTACACACATCTTAAAGTAACCCGTAGCCTACCGTATGAAAGCACTACGTCACTACGAAACGACAGCGTGGTTACTTCCAGATCTGCTTCACAGCCTCGTCATGTCCCACAAGACGCTCTGCTCCGCATCCGCTTGTTCCTCGGGCTCATCCTGCCAGGAGAGGTTGCTGTAAGAGCGTGGGCAGGGGCAGGGTAGCACATCCCGATGACCCACGACGGCTGTTTCTATGCTGTGCTTGAAACCTGCAGTGTTAAGCAGAGCGGAGAACCTTAAATGGGTCTTTTCAGGAATCTCCTCCTCAACATCTGCGACGACGCACTGCTTCAGCGACTCCACAGACTCCTTGTAGATCACCTGCGACATTCGATTTCACCGATGTCACGGTGAGCTCACGTGGCTTCATTCTTGTTGGAGTCGCATAGTCCCAGCACCGGCTTTGCTGATCCACGGATTCTACGAGACGTGCCTTTGCCACCACCGCCGATTCAGCGAGGCCCTTCGAGATGGACATCCTTGGCCACACTCTGCTACTACTGTTGCTCCTCAAAGCTGTGACCACGATCATGTTGTAGGAAGTGTCGCTCTGCTGCGTGATGACTCCTACGCTTGGCCATCTGAAGTGGCATCGACGGAAGGAGCTGAGGGCATCTTTCCTTCGAGCACTGGTATCTACCAGAGACAAGCCTAAGCATTAACAAGGCATGCTTTGCAGACCTCGAGTGGTAGCCCACAGGAGCTGCAAGTTGCACGCCAAGTGCGCTGAGTGCGCAGTCAAGGTGTTCTCTTCCAGAAGCGGAGCATGAAGCAGGGATCTAGGCCCAGCAAAAGAAGGGCTTTGTTGAAACACTTCAACTTGACTTCAACTCTTTTTTGTGCACCTTCTTTACAGCTCTTTTTTGGGGCCTTCGGCCGCTGCCCTGGGCTCCTGGGCTTCTGCTGCACCTTCCAGAAGGCCAAGATGCTTTTTTCGGCACCACGCCGGCTTTGGGCATGTGCCGCTTGCGGCTGCATTCACATCAAGGAACCAGGCCTCGGGCGGCTTGAGGCTTGAAGGTGGCTTGAGATGGCTTGAGTGAGCTTCCTTAAGGACCCAGAAAAAGCTGCGTTGTCGATGAGACAAGCGGCTGTCCTCACTCTCGGACTCCAGGCCCGAGTCCGACACCGCGGAGTCCTCCTCCTCCTCCTGGCACTCCAAGAGCAGAGCGCGGCAGAGCGCAGAAGGCTCAGCTTGGATTGGGACTAACTACCAGTAGCTTCCGTTTCACCGAGGCGCCTCCTCCTTGGTGGTCGGGCTTTTGGCTCTCCTTCCGGGCAGGCGCTATCTTGTGGCCAAGGGCTTCCTGCAGATCTCTCGGAACGAAGCCTCCGGTTACAACAAAGATGTCGACAAGGCAGGCAGCAGAAGCACTGTGCCACAAACCTGAGAGACAAATTCCCAGGGTCAGGCTGGGTGTGCTCACTACAGGAAAAAAGTTTGGGAAGGTCGTTGGGGCAAGAGCTGCAATAAGCGCGGATGGGGAGTAGCAGATTGCCAAAACTAGAGTCTCACTGGCGCGTTCTTGAGGGGCAGGCAGAACGCACACATACAACATCGTGGGGAGGTTCAAGAAGAAGATGCAGCCTTAGTGGATTGCGGCCGTGCGTGGCCAACATCGGTGTCATTGTATCACATATCCGACTGACCAGCACTTGCAACTGAGAATCGAAGAAAATGCTCAATGCAGCGGCAACAACATCGAGCTTGGCGGCTAATGCATGAGCAGCAATCCCTGGCAAGTGGAATCAAGCTACTGAGGCTTATAAACTGAACTCAACTTATGATTCGCGTTAGCCTGCCCTCCGCATAGCAGTCTTCAAGGATCACCGCATCTTCGGTTCCAGCTTGAAAAACCACCTGCCCGCAGGACTTCACTCGGCCTTTGTGACTCTTCGCTCTAAACGAGTCGCAGCGTTTTGTGTACGTTTTGCGGACACGAGGCCGCCTGAACTAGCTATGTTTCTCGCAAGCAGGAGTCAACCTCTGCAAGGTCTGAACAGCTTCGCGTTCGCATCGTTCCAAACGCAGCGTCTCTGCTGTTCAGCATAGCATGCACACCGTGCTCCACAACTCTGGCCTTTGCATTCCGAACAACACCATCCGGATCGTCGCCTGCCGGACGAGAGCGACAGCTGGCGACAATGCAGTCTGCCCAGCTTCGGTAAAGCAGGGCTTGGAGTCGAGTCAGCAAGTAGCGGGTAGCATAAGTATCAAGACGCGTGTGAGCTCGACGAATGGCTCACCCGCAACCTTAACTCCGCAAAAGGGCTTTACATGTCAGCGGGCAGCTGACGCATGTAAATGAGCGTAGTAATCAACCATCAAAGCAAACTCAAGCAACATGTCGTCCAGAATCGTGTCAACAAAATTGCCTGCTGCCCGCTGCAGCATCGAGGAGACCTTCACGGCAAAGCTGCTTTCGGCAATGGTTATGCCAGAACATTCAGACAAGCCAGCACGTGTGAAGACTGCCTGCTTCGACCGCTGCGTCCAGGTCTGCTCTCCATCATCCTGAGCATAGGGATGAAGGGTTACGATTTCCCTTCAAAATGTTTCCAACCAATATATTCCAATCCCCCAAAGCTGCACCAAAGGCAAAAACCTGCGCCGGGAGTCGCTCGCATCCCGCAGTGCTTTGTGCAGCATGCCAACAACACGTGGCGCATCAAAGCTGTAGTCCCACTTGAGGAGACGGTCCACCTGCCAAGCCAAGACAAGCCAAGGACTAGCTTTGATGGGCCATTACGTCTTGGACAAGATGATGAAGGTTTTCACACTGCGTGGCATTCCCGGCACTGTGTGTGACGACCGTCCTCTACATGCCTTGCAGAAAGCTGCATCGATCTGTCAGGGCTGCGAGATTCAGCTTTCAGGCAGAAGTCACCATGCCCAAAAGACCCACTTCTCTGAAACCCCTAAGACCTAAAGGCCTGATGACTGAAGACCTGGGTCGTGACGGGGCGCAACAAACAAGTCTTCGGGGCCCAAGCCTTCGGAGCACACCAGATAACACCACCCGAGTATCATGAAAACCCACATTTTCAGCGCATGGGAAGATGAGAGCTCATGAGCTCAAGTCCAGCTACATGACCCATACACAAAAAAAAACTGCTGGACCCCTACCCGTGGCTGCTCCGAACAGAACACAGGAGACTGTTGCAAAGGTAGCGGCCTTTACCGGCTTCGAGCCACAGCCCAGGTCTTTCACCCTCGCGGCCCACCAGCGCTGGTCCAAAAGCCTCAGCAAAGTAAGACGTGCAAAATCTCGCAAGTGCAGGGGCCTGTTTGATACTTCCATAAATTGTCTATCCCCGCCACAATCACCATCATCACGAGTATCACCGTGACAATCTTCGTTATCACGACGGCCATCGGACATCGCTGCTTCTGTGTGGCTACCCTGCCTGCCCTTCTTGGCCCCGCCAGCACGTCCCTGGACAGAAAACCATACACGAAGTAGCTCGGTTGAACTGCCTTGACGTCCTATCTCCTGTCTTATTTGCCTACTTCATCTATGTGTGCATCGGGAGCTAGAATCTGCAACATTTTGCAAAACAGTAGCAACTCCGCTACCTTGGGGAAACGCCCATTGCAGCCAACTTACACAGTAAATCAGTAAATCCTAAAGGTTCCCCAAAAACTTGTTATACAAGGTTGTACCCTGTTGTACTATACAGTGCTATGTTGTACTGTGTGATGGTACATTGCATTGTACTATACCAGTACACTATGTTATGATAGACTTGCATTATACTAGTACTCTACCTTTATTCGACTATCATTGTACAACAGTTTACTATGCTATACTACATTGAAGAAGCCCAATGCCTAATCTAGCTCAAGCTGCAGGATGCCGCTGGTTATCACCGGTACGCCGGCTCGCAGTGCCTCCGACGTAACGCCCAGGCCACCCTGAAAACAGCACGAGAGCAGCATCGATCTCTGCGAAAATGCCTGTAACTACCGCCTACGCAGTACTGTGTTGCACTGGTCTAGATATAATTACATTGTCTTGTTTTATACTGTGTAATGCTGATGTATATCCTACACTGTACTACGTTGTGTTATGTTGTGTTATATTGTCGAATATTGAAGTATATTTCATTATATTGTACTGTGTATTATATGGTGTGTTGTGTTGTGTTGTACTGCATTATACGGTATTGTATTATATTGTGTTCCATTGTCTCATGCCGTACTATACTGTACTATACTGTATTATGTTGCATGGCACTGTATTATATTGTATAACTGTATTGTATTGTAGTATATGGTGTGTGTTGCGTTGTCTTGTATGGTATCGTATTGCATTGCATTGTATGGCATTGGATTGTATTGCCTTGTATTGTATACACTCGTAACTGTATCGCACTGCATTGCACTACGTCGTATTACATTCGGTTACATTACCAGGTTTGGAATGGTGTGTCATGGAGTCTTGCATGATGTGACGTGGTGTGATATGGTGTGATTTGGTAGAACCTCAAAAGGATATCATAGCTAGCATAAGCACAAGCATAACATAGCATTGCACATCATACTACATGATATGCTGTGATTAACCACACTGTGTCACCATGCGACAAAGACTGTACTGTACTGCACTGTACTGTGCTGTGCTGCACTGTGCCGTACTGCACCGTGCCGTGCTATGCAAAACGATAACAGCACCATGCATGTTATTCTCCTAAACTGCGTTGCTGTACCATGCTGCATCGTGCCGCACTATGCAAAGCAATGCATGGCTATATACTTTCTTGTACCATACTTCATTGTTTTATCTTAGGTGATCTCATATTGTCTTATCTTATGGTACTTCTATTCTAGATTGTCTAGATTATCAAAAGTAGAAAGATGGCCTGTACGCTCAAACATTCACCAAATCTGAAACGTTTAAAGGGCAGCCAAAGGCCAAGTAAGTATATTGTCATGTATTGTGTTATGCTATATTATCTTATATATCTTACAGTGTATATTTTGATTGTACTATATTATACTACGTTAGTAGTTAGTAGTAGTAGTAGTAGCAGTAGTAGTAGTAGTAGTAGTAGTAGTAGTAGTGGCAGTAGTAGTAGTAGTAGTAGTAGTAGTAGTAGTAGTAGTTATAGCACATTATACTATATTGTATTATATTACACTACATACTGTACTATTCGTATTCATATTTATACTTATACTTATATTGCAGTAGGTTATATTATGTTATGTCTTGCTATACTGTATTAGAGTGTAGCATAGTGTTTGTCTTCACTGTATTATAGTATCTTGTATTGTCGCACAAAATATTCTCGTCTATGAACTTATCTTAGTCATCTCACGTTATTTGACACTAGATTAAATAATTTTAAGAACTGTACTTTGGATTAGTGTTGGTTGGATTAGATGAGACTAGACGAGGTTAGATTGGATGAGACAGGATAAGATAAGATTAGGTTAGATTAGATCACATTCTATATTATACTAAGCTGTATATTC